ATATATAAATATCCTTGAAAAATTAATATTTGTGCACGGATGAGGCTAATCAAGGGTCCTCTCACGTTCTCTCCTCAAATGTACCGATATATGTATGTAATCCTTTACACGTGTGTACCGATATGTGTAATGTTGTACATATGAACCAATATACCACACCGTTATCTCCAGATGTCCAAATCTTGCTAATGTATTTCCCAAAAAAATTAAGCTTATTTCTTTCGAGTCTTAAAATAGCATATTCAATACTCTTTTTAACGAATTCGTCAATGTATTTATGGTTACGTTTACTTTTACACAGTAAGTGGGTCTTCCATAATAGATAAATAAATACATATATACTTTTTAAAAATATTTATGCTTCACAGAAAAGATTTAATAGGGTACCTAGAAACAACGTTTGCGTGCAGTTTTATGACAGCAATTATAACATCAAGGTATCCAACTTCATGCATGCTTCATAATTCCGCGGAAGAAATTTGATAACAGGTTGGAGTTTCGTTTTATAGCACGACAGATACATGTATCTTCGTAGAGTGCAAGATTTTACCTAATAGGAATTAAATTTCATATTTCACGATCTTTTTAGCGTAAATCGTGCATGGCGAAGTTCATCGAATCTGAAGTTGAGGATCGATTGCTGTACCGTTGTTAAATGTCTAAGAATCCTACTTTCTTTCTAACTTTCCCAGGAAGTTACAGGAAAAGTTCGCTATAATTTCCACCGTAAATTACTGTATATTACATTATATTGTACATTACTCTATATTAGAAAAGTGAATCCTGAGAATATGATTTGTATTTGGTACCAAATCAACTTTTGTTATAGAAACAAGGTAACGGATACAGGTTCGACGAGTACGACTGATTGGACAGCCCCAGTTATTGAATGTTTTTCTAACGTCTGATTGGTCAACAGCGTCCAATTACTAGAACTGTCCAAGCACTTATACATGTCCATCACTGGCACCGTTACTTTACTATCCGCAAGGAATAGAGATTACAATTAAATATTTTCTGCAGAAATACCAATAACTGGATCTAAAATTGGATATGATAGTTCTAGGTATCAAAATTGTTATAAAAAAAAATGTTGAGGGTTGTAGTAAAACAGATGATGTTATTAGTAAAATTTGGTTATGAATAATTATTCTTAGATTAAGCAGATTAAAGTAAAAATTTGGTTTAATTTAATTATCTAACATTGGTTATATAAACGTGTAATAGTTCCAAGAGTGGCTATATGTATAACCTAACAGTTAGGTCCTAACTCATGAAGGTACAGCGCATGGTAGTACAACACGGAGTAGTATAGTGTGTAGTAATGTAGTGCATGATAATATAAAGCGTAACAATATGATGTATGAACCGTGATTCAGAGTATGGTAGTACAACGGGTGGTGATACAATGCGTGATAGTATAGTACATGGTAGCACAGCGCGTGGTAGTATAATGTGTAGCAGTACAACAATTAACAATGCAATGTTTAGTAAATCAAAGCGTAATTACACAACGAGCGATAGCACAGTGAGTGATAGCACAGCGCGCGGTAATATAAAGCATTGTAGTACAACGCACAGTAGTGTAACACATGGTAGTACAGTGTGTGGAACACAACACATGGTAGTGCAATTCAAGATAGTGCAGCACTTAGTAGCACAATGCGTAGTAGCGCAGCGCGTGGTAGTGCAACACAAGATACTGCAACAAGTGACAGTGGAATAGAAGATAGTGTCACACGTCGTAGTACAACGCAAGGTAATATAATGCGTGGTAATTCGACACAAGATAGTGCAGCGCTTGGTAGTGCATCGCATGGAGGTACAGCCCGTGGTAATATAACGCACCATAGCACAACGCGTGGTATTGGTACACAAGGTAGTGCAGCACGTGGTGTTCTAGCGCTTGGTAGTACAACGCGTGGTGTTACGGCGCCTGGTAGTACAACGCGTTGTGTTACGGCGCTTGCTAGTGCAACGCGTGGTGTTACGGCGCTTAGTAGTACAACGCGTTGTGTTACAGCGCTTAACAATACAACGCGTTGTGTTACGACGCTTGGTAGTATAACGCGTTGTGTTACGACGCTTGGTGGTACAACGCGTGGTGTTACGGCGCTTGGTAGTACAACGCATGGTGTTACGGCGCTGGTTAGTACAACGCGTGGTATTACGGCACTTAGTAGTACAACGCATTGTGTTACGGCGCTTGGTAATACAACGCGTTGTGTTACGACGCTTGGTGGTACAACGCGTGGTGTTACGGCGCTTGGTAGTACAACGCATGGTGTTACGGCGCTGGTTAGTACAACGCGTGGTATTACGGCACTTAGTAGTACAACGCATTGTGTTACGGCGCTTGGTAATACAACGCGTTGTGTTACGACGCTTGGTAGTACAACGCGTGGTGTTACGGCGCTTGGTAGTACAACGCGTGGTGTTATGGCGCTTGGTAGTATAACGCGTGGTATTACAGCACATAGCATAGCTACGCGTGGTAGTGGAACACAGAATAGTGCAGCGCGTGGTAATACAGCGCGTGGTAGTGGAACACAGGATAGTGCATCGCGTGGTAATAGAGTGCGTGGTAATACAACCCATAAGAATGCAACACTAGATAGTGCAGCGCTTGGTAGTATTACGCGCGGTATTACAGCGCATGGCATTGCTACGCGTGGTAGTGGAACACAAGATATTTCATCGCGTGGTAGTGCAACCCATAACAGTCCAACACAAGATAATGTAGCGTTATACCATAGCACATATCATGCATAGTAGTAGAACGCGTAACAATCTAATGCCTAGTTATTCAAAGCGTAACTACACGACACGTGATATTATAAAGCGTGTCATTCTAACGAATAGTACTCCAAATGAATATACATCCATACTATTGAAGTACAAGGTAGTATAGTGCGTGGCAGTATAAGGGGTGGCAATCTAATGCGCAGTAACTCAATACGTGAACGTACAACGTGTAGTACAATACATGGTACCATAACACGTGATCTTACAATTTATCGTGCAATTATACAACAGACAGCAATGTAACACATACCCGCACAATTTATATCAATCTAAAATCCTCTCACACAATTACTTAAATCCTCTCACCAAGTAAACAACGCAAAAATAAACTAATGTGACGCAATCATCTCCCGTTACAACGGTAGACCTTGAAGGTGTCAAACATAAGTGTTGACCGAAGAACGATCATCTAATTTGAACTGGTGTCAGCGGAAAAACACTAACTAAAAATTGATTTCGAGCATGAAGCTTCTTAGAGACGAGCTGCTAATAGCATCATTTTATTACGGTCCTGAATCCAACCACCTGATTTGTTGCCGTATGTCAAAGTTGAATACGTTCACGACAGTGGAACAGGTATAACCATACGTAGGCGGACACTTTAACCGACAGCTGCTCTTTCACTTGCCACGTGAGAATTTAGTTTCTACGCAACGTAGTTTGAGACCCTTCCTTAGAACAGCGTTATAGAGTACGCTTTAAAAGAGGATAAATGTCATTGAACGCTGGTGGATTCTCAGGTTTCGTGATATGGCATCGGACATTTGATTTTCGCGTTGTTCAGTTTGTCCGTGTCAATGAATACAATTAATGGCTTCTTGGTGTTATTAAGCAATACCGATTTCAATTTCGATTTTGTTCAGATACGACTGAAACTGTTTCTACAGGGTAGCCAAATTTTTTATCGTTACCTTTTATCGAGGTATTCAATTTGTACAAATAAAAAGGGAATGTTATATCACTATCGGATTTCAAACATTATATTAGAAAGTTATAATAGGTTGGTGAAGTTTGATGGTAAAAAACTGGAATACCTTGTAATTACGTATAGTATTTCAAAATGGTATCTTTAAGTTCTGCTTGGACCATGTTTTATAAATTTCAAGCATAATCATAAAATTTATTATGATTATAGTCAAATAATATTAGGTTGACAAAATATATCACAACTTTCTATTTTCTTAATACAAAATTATTTACCAGAAAATATTATTTACTAAAAGAATATATCACTATAATGATAAAATTTTATGCATTGCAAAATAAATTGTGTATCTATTTATACAAATGATTTAAACAACTAAAATTTCGCAAATCATAAAAAGTAACTGACATTTTTGGTTGATACTGCAAAAAATATTTAATGTATTCTTTACACAATAGACTGTATTTGTTTCGTAAAAGCTGTTTATACGATTAACAGCTTTTGTCCATTAGCAAAGCAATATTGCAAAAAGTAAATGGTAATACATTATTAAGTAATTCTGCATAAAAACTGAGGTCCGTTCTTTGAAAGGTAGTTGAACCTTTGAAGGTATTTGTTTATAAAAAAAATTTACTGTTAAACAAATTGATTATTTATACTAATTAACCCTTCGTTGTTGTTGCAAATATGCAACATAACATTTGAAGAAATTCTTGTATTTTATCAAACCTAATTTTACTACAAATTTAACTAAAAAAATTATTGAAAACATTATATTTCATAATTATGACTTTTTGTTACGCTTTTTCAAAACTTTGCAAATTTAAAATATATGATTCGTCAAATAAATATTTTTGATAGAAAACATTTCATTGATATTGCATCAATAACAGTGTAAAAATGTATCTTTAATTGTAACAGTTCAGAAATATATTTCTAATCGTAACAGCTCAGAAATATATTTTTGATAGTAACTATTTAAAAATACATTATTTTCAGAATTAATAATGGCAATCACACAAAGAGTTAACGACTGTTCCGTATAAGTATAAAAATCTTCAAATAAATAGTACTCGCTACAAAGAAGGACCATGGCTATTAAATAAAAATTTAACAAGAATCGACTCCGATAACTGTTACCGTAATTACTTTAATTTGAGGAAGAGTCCAAACCGGCTAAAGAATTGCCTCGAAACTCATTCGAATCAATCGAACATTTCATTTGTTCGTGAAGTCTTCGAATCGAAATCAGCAGTTAAATCGGACTTACGTCATCCCTATCCTCGTGAAGCTCGTCGTCGGCGCTCTCTTCGAGAACGAAGCCCACGTCGTTGTTGTTCCTCGTCAGTGATGGCAGCTTCCTGGGTGTCAGTTCCTCGCCGTCGGTGTCTCTCTTTCGCTTGCCGTCCCTGTGCTCGTTCAGCGTGGTCTCGTGCTCGTCCAACATGTCGGTGACCATCAGTTCCGACTCGACGCTCGTCGGGGACACGACTTCGTCCAGCGGTGACATAGTCGTCCTGTCGGCTTCACCGCCCTCCAGTACGGACATGATGAGCCACTTTTGCCGGAGCTGGCACAGATGCTTGCTCGGTCACGATCACCAGAATTCGCGGACAGTCGGGTCTCGTCTTCGACGGGACACTGTGTGTCGGCTGCCGAGAGGTGGCAACGAAGCACCTCCACTGTTCGAGTGAGTACGGATGCACGTTCATAGAGTCTTCGTTTGCTGCTCAGTTTCTTTCGTGTCAACCTTATCGTTCCTCTTTAACCGAATAGCTCCCACGAGCGCTACGTCATCCAATTAAATTCGTTAAAAACGGTTAACTTCGCGAAACGTTTCCGGCATACGCTTGTCATCAATCACTTTTCCGAGCACCGGTTTACGTCCGTTCGTTAAATCCAGTAATTTCGGCGAGAACCGTACTTTACGACCTCGGCTGTTAATCGCCGGCCCGTTCGCCTTCTGTGTGGCTTCGTTGACATTCGATCAGAATTGCGTTCGTTAAAACTGGCGGTTTCGTGCATCGGCATGCGATTCCATGCCAGAAACTGAGGCACATCCGACCAGCCTGAAGACAATGGGCTGATAAATCGCCTGTCCTCGATAACGGTCCCACTCGCCGCTAAACAGAGTCCCTCTGGAGCACATCCAATTTTCCAAACGAGCGTGACCCTCTTTTTCTTCTTGAAGCCGTGCACAAACACCTGCTTGACGGTATGCCGGTGTACGTGCAAAACTTCGATCGCTTAAAGTTTCGATTCGATATTCACGGTTCAAAGTTCAACGAATTTCAACAAGTTTAACTCCTCGTGTGAAAATCTGATGAGTCTAAACTGTGTAGCTCCTCAGTCAGATATTTAGTTAGGTGTTAAGAATTAGATGTTAGATGTTTAATCAAGTATCCATTTAGTCATTCGCTCAAGAATGAAGTATCCACTTAGATCAAGAATTAGGTAACCACTTAGATGTTCGATAACGAATTAAATAGCCAGTTAAATCCAGACTTCGATATCCAGTTAGGTATTCGATAGAGAAGATTCTTCGGAATGAAGTATTTTCGAGGCACTTTTTTATCGAAATTTGTTGAGGAATCGGTGAAAAACGATCGATTTCAGTGACAGAGACGTTCACGTGTTTGGAGCACAGGCAGCTTTAAAACCAGACGTAAAACGATCCCATGGCGTGCGTCCGTGCGGGCATTAAAGTCTCCGGCTTTCCACCGGTTCCGCTGATCGATGACGCAGGAAACCTGAATTCTTTCGGTCCCTTCCCTGTGGGACTTAATAACGCGGCTTCCTTGGTGTAATTAAATCCTGCCAAATTACACGGATCGATGTGATTCGCGTGGAATGACGTGGTCAGCCTGGTTTCGTCGCGTTGTGCCACCCTGACAGTCTCCCTCGGGGCACGGGAATTTACCAAGAACATCACGACAGTTACCCATGGTCGTGTGCCGTAAACACCGAGATGCAAAACGAACGCGTATAAAATAATCTGCACCGGCGAATGAAAACTGAACGTTCCAGTTCAGTCAGAGTTGAATGTAGACGTTTTGAAACGACGCAAAAAATGCAGTCAACCGCGTACAATCACGAGATCGTTTGTACGTGTACGTACGTTCTTTGCTGATTACCGTGCTCACATGCAGCCTGGACTCGGCCCGATTTCACCATAGAATCTAGTCGCAGATCACCACTGGTAACGAGATTGCACCGATCGGCTCGCGTACACTTCCTGTCCGTGTGGCGGGTTTCGGTCCTGTTGCTCGTAAACTGCACTGCGATTTCTACTATTTTCATGCTATATCATGCTCGCATCAGTTTTCTTCTTTTCACCCGACAGAGGGTTACGTTTACAAGATTCTTCAGTTCAGTAGCTGTCACTTGCTCCGCTCGTTCATCGATATCGACCGGTTTTGCAAAAAATTTCCTTTCAGATGTTTGCTCCTCATTTAATTATGACGCGGCTTCCATTCATGCACACTCAACTTCGTCATCGATCAGTTTACTGAATCGCCTCCGGTCTATCGAGGATTCCCGCACAACAACAACAACAATATGAACCAACAAGCACACGCGTTTCGTTCGTCCAACACACAGACGTCCCCACACGGAAACACTGGCCAGCCGGTCCGTGGTTACGCAACAGGCCGATCAACGTCCACGTCGAAACATCCTCGGGCAAAGAGCGGAACCAGGAATCCCTCGGGCCGTGGCGACGGATGTTGACGTTCCGCATTTCAGTGACAGAGACGTTCACGTGTTTGGAGCACAGGCAGCTTTAAAACCAGACGTAAAACGATCCCATGGCGTGCGTCCGTGCGGGCATTAAAGTCTCCGGCTTTCCACCGGTTCCGCTGATCGATGACGCAGGAAACCTGAATTCTTTCGGTCCCTTCCCTGTGGGACTTAATAACGCGGCTTCCTTGGTGTAATTAAATCCTGCCAAATTACACGGATCGATGTGATTCGCGTGGAATGACGTGGTCAGCCTGGTTTCGTCGCGTTGTGCCACCCTGACAGTCTCCCTCGGGGCACGGGAATTTACCAAGAACATCACGACAGTTACCCATGGTCGTGTGCCGTAAACACCGAGATGCAAAACGAACGCGTATAAAATAATCTGCACCGGCGAATGAAAACTGAACGTTCCAGTTCAGTCAGAGTTGAATGTAGACGTTTTGAAACGACGCAAAAAATGCAGTCAACCGCGTACAATCACGAGATCGTTTGTACGTGTACGTACGTTCTTTGCTGATTACCGTGCTCACATGCAGCCTGGACTCGGCCCGATTTCACCATAGAATCTAGTCGCAGATCACCACTGGTAACGAGATTGCACCGATCGGCTCGCGTACACTTCCTGTCCGTGTGGCGGGTTTCGGTCCTGTTGCTCGTAAACTGCACTGCGATTTCTACTATTTTCATGCTATATCATGCTCGCATCAGTTTTCTTCTTTTCACCCGACAGAGGGTTACGTTTACAAGATTCTTCAGTTCAGTAGCTGTCACTTGCTCCGCTCGTTCATCGATATCGACCGGTTTTGCAAAAAATTTCCTTTCAGATGTTTGCTCCTCATTTAATTATGACGCGGCTTCCATTCATGCACACTCAACTTCGTCATCGATCAGTTTACTGAATCGCCTCCGGTCTATCGAGGATTCCCGCACAACAACAACAACAATATGAACCAACAAGCACACGCGTTTCGTTCGTCCAACACACAGACGTCCCCACACGGAAACACTGGCCAGCCGGTCCGTGGTTACGCAACAGGCCGATCAACGTCCACGTCGAAACATCCTCGGGCAAAGAGCGGAACCAGGAATCCCTCGGGCCGTGGCGACGGATGTTGACGTTCCGCCGCGAAGATCCCAGTCACGTGGTCGCCGGTGTCACGTGGGGGCGGCGGGGAAGGTGTCAGAGCAACAGCGGGCCACGGTAGGGGAAGAACGGTACGTATCCGGTGGTATTCGAAAAGTCAGCCGGGAAAAAGCTGAGCCAAGCACGTAAAAGCACGCGTATTGGTCGAAGGTCGACGAAGACCGATCGTGCGACACCGCGTTGTCGCGCGCGCGCGCCTCTCGAGAATGGCCTAAAGGCGAAAAGAGGAAAGGATCTCCTCGAGTGGCGCCGCCCGCGGCAGGAGGGGGCAAATCTCTCCTGCGTGGAGAGCAAGTGTTGGGCCCGCACGATATGCCCGCTGGACCACCACCACTACTGCCATCCTCTCGACCACCACCATAACCGTCGTTGGCCACCACCACCGGCGCTACCACGGACGATGCCATCGGTATCACCATCACCCGTAGCTTCGTCCACCTTCACGGAACACCGTCGCCGATACCAGCTGTCCTCTCTGCCGTCCCTTTCTCTTCTACGTGGGTTTCCTCTCACGGCTCCTTTTCCTCTCCACGATGTCCACTTCTGTCGATTCCCCTCCTCGCAGGCTTGCAACTACGTCGTTCTTGTCTTCGTTCGACCACGGCCGAGACTGGACCGCTTGCCGGCTCTCTGTCGCCTTGGTGTCTCCTGCTTCGAGACGTATCGATGATACCTGACCAGAAGGAACGCTTGGAACTACGATTTACCGGCCTCCTTTCGCGACATGCACACGTATCTGATACTCTTTTTTTTGCTCTTGGACCTTTCCCTGAATGCAGCTTCGATCATACGATCTATTCAATCAGACGGTGGAGACTCGATCTTTAAGTTTTATGCTTGATAAAGACCGACACGATTGAAATTTTGATGTGGTTTGGGTGGTAAAATATTGTTGCACTTTTAATAGTAAATAATACTGATCCAGTTTTTTATTAATTTGAAGGATATTAGTAAAGTCACGTGTCTGTAACGTGATGATAGATAAACTAATGATGAGGCGGACGTTAATGTTTAGCATTAATGTGAGGTTACGTTAGAGATCCTGAGATTAACTGTCTCATTTGTGTCTTATTTATAGTTGCACTGTGTTAGTGTACAGTTGAAAGCAAATCTAGTTTCTTTTATGAGAAATATAGCGATTAATCTGTCACTTAATTTTTAGAAATATTTAAGGATTTGACAGATTGGACATAGGTTAAGAATTTAGAGTCTTTGATTTTGACTATGGAATTTTGAGATCAACGAATATGGAAGTGGAGAACTATTGTAAATTTATTATTGCAAAATTCTGGATCCTTCATAATTATCTTCAATCAATTCACTTGTCATTGAGGTAGCATTGCATCATATATCAGTTATGTATATTATAAAGTTATCGAATGACTGCACTTAATTTCTGACTCGCTTCACCTGCATATCACCAATCTACAAAAACAAATCGAAGTTCGTACATTAAGATCCTTTTTATGCTAATTAACGTATCTCCTGAAGGAAGTAGATTGTTTCATTCTTGCATTCATGGATCAGATATAGCATCACCTATAAACCTCCTGTCCTGCTATTTTTTACGTCTCTCGCGTTATTAGACACGCAGCTTATCAGATCAGCAGTTCAGCAGTGTCATCGTTTGCAATTCACGCGAGTCGTTAGCTCCATCTTGCGTTGTATATCGATAATGTATGCAAGCGAGTCTCAAATGCAACGTAATGTTTCACAGACACAGCATTCAGAGATACTCGGATCATTCGTCGACTTACGAACCTCTGCCAATCATCGACTCGTGGATCCGATTGATTAAGATTAAATCAAAGTGATCGTCCGTTCTCTTTCTCATCGGCCACTTTTATGAATAACACGTCCACACCGTGTAAAAAAATGTCGGCATCCTGTGACAGGATCGCGTATGCGAGTAAGGAACATTCCTCCATACGTTAACCCAAATATGAGCAACGGCGAACGTGAAATAAGACGCTCATTAAGAAAGAATGCTTTGCTGGGAATGGTTACCACCGCTATATAATTTAAGCTGCAGTAAACTCGCTTAGAACACGCGTTGTTGTATTGCTTCGTGTTCGCGGCTATCTGCGATTTAATATTCGTGCAAAAACCAACAAACCAGACGGCAGTAACCGCCTCGACCGCGGATTTACGGTGGAATAATTGAACCATAATCGCTCGTGAATTACGCGTTCATTCAGGGATGTTACATCATTGTTATTATCGTCTCGATTTTCTGGAAATATCTTCTGGGGAAACTTTCATCGATCGTAAATCTTACGGCTGGTTACCTACTAACGCGTCAACATTTTCATCCGCGTAACTCATTTCATAAATGTCGAGTGTTTCGCAGAGGATAATCCCGTTAGTGATAAAATTTGATCGTACATGGACATATTACGGAGAGGCTGTACCGAAATTTTTGTATATTCTGAAAGGAAATAGTTTTGATTTTTTCAGTGTTACATAGAAGTGTTACATAGAAAAATTTGTATTAACATAATCTTATCTTCAAATCAGAACATATGTAGAAAGTAGACATAGAAGTAAATTATCTTCATGTACTTTCCCTAGAAGTTAATAAATTTTTCTAAGTTCATCCGGACTCCACCATCTGACGATGCATTTAGACCCGAAAGCTAGTTTCTTTCCCACCTTACCAAAACCCGAGTGTAAACAAACAAAGCTGGACTTTTTCCAAAGTAGAAGAAGAATTAGCAATTGTTCGGTCAATCTAAACACTCCTTTGACGATCCACGCCTTTAAATCACCGTTTATTTGAATGCACCCACGTCGTACCGCCTCATTTGCGTCACAACTCCTCGAAACAATCGACGTTCCGCTAGATACGTAGTCTTTTGTTATCACGTCGATCGATATCTGGCTCGAACGGGTAAAAATATTCAGGTCAACTGAATAGCAACCGGCAACAGCGGGCCTTGGATCTGAAGCTTCCAGAGGAGGCTGCTCCCTCCGGCATACCAAGACAGATCACCTCTTTTTCCCCCTTACTCCCTTCCTACACTTTACACGCACCTGTCCAACATGGACGGATCGTATTCTGATCCCACTTCCTACAAATGTTATATTCCTTTTTCTCCGATTGAACGTTCTAATAAGGAATACACCAGGTGAGTTTGGAAAATTCGGTGGCTGGTGGACTATATTGTATTTTTCAAAAATATGGAACTAAACTAAAAATTCCGTCCAATGCAGATGTTTAATAAATTTGTAAATTTTCATGTTTTTCTAGGAATAGGTTGCCATATTGGAAATACCATGAGATATAAACGTTTACAATAATTCATTACTTTTATAAGAAAAGCAAATCAATTTGAATGTAATCTTAATTATTTTTGACTAGCAATTAAATAGTATTGGACAGTTTAAGACATACATTATCTGACACTACAAAATACAAAAGATCAGTGCTTACAATTATTTTTAAATTTACTGAAAAGTCCTCATACATTTCGCAATAAAGTTACTCCACTTACAAAATAAACGGTTTCTGTGCGACGAAAATCTTCAAACGCGAAGTGGATGAATAAAGATGGAAGAAGGATGGACTCAAGGTGCCACCCACGTGTGTAATTATGAGATCACTGCCGAAAACAGCCAGTAACCGTGTCCAATGGAAAAGACGGAGCAACGGAATGGCCAAAAAGAAAAATGATTAACGAACTCGTTCGACGCATTCCCGTGTCAGGATACAAGGGGAGATACGTCGAGCATGTTACTCGAACGTTGCTCGATATATCGTGACGTAAGCGAGGGAATTTCGAGGAGATTGAACGACAGTTCTAGCTTCTATAAAAGTGGAACACGTTTCTCGT